TCTACAGCCTCGAACTGCGGGGCTCTAGCACTTCTCCCGTCCCAGGCTCCCACGTATCTGGGACTAAAGGTGCTTTGCACTGTGCTGGCTCAGGATGGCTTTCATTTCTCTTCTTGCCTAGTTACTATGGTTAGAACATCTACTACAGTGTTGAATAGAGCTTGTGAAAGCAGGGCATTCTTGTCTTGTTCCTGATCTTAAGGGGAAAGCTTTCAGTCTTTCACAGTTGAGGATGCTTTGCTGTGGGTTTTTTTTAAATAGATGCTGTTTATCAGGTTGAGCAAGTTTCCTTCTTGTTTCTAGTTTGTTGAGTATTTTTATAATTAAAGGGTGCTAGATTTTGTCAAATGCTTTTTCTGCATCAATTAAGATGATCATTTGGTATTTTTCTTTCATGTTATTAGTGTGGTGTATTATTGATTGATTTTTGTATGTTGAGTCACTCTTGCATTCCTGGGAAAATACTACTTTGTACGGTGTTTGATCCTTTTTATATGCTGCTAGATTTGGTTTACTGGTATTTTGTTGAGGATTTTTACTCTACTCTGGTTGTAGTTAGAATTCCTTAGCTATTGGTTGATTTTGGGTGTTTTTGATGGTCTTTGTGATTTTAAAGCTTAAAGTTTTCTGAAATCATTTTAAAGACTAAGTTTGTTATTCTGACGGAATCAATTTGAGTAAGTTTTTCTTTGAAAACGGCACAAATTTGGTAGGGTCAGAAATAAAACATAACAAAAAAGAGAAAAAGTTTCATCTATTTGTGTATTTTTTGCCAAAGTGTATTATTTTTCAGTCTGAAGAATAATCTTTTTTAAAAAATTAAAGTCAGGCATATGCACTTAAAGATGTACACTTTGGTTTTATTTTTTCAGAACCAGCTTTCTCCTGGGGAAATTTGTATTCTACATAGATGTCGTGAATAAATTGTAAATTTGGTGACAGAGAAAAAAAATTAGGGTTTTCATACTAGCAGTATTTGTGTATCTTTTTTTTGGGGGGGGGGTACAGAGTCTTGCTCTGTAGCCCCCAGGCTAGAGTGCAGTGGCGCAATCTCGGTTCACTGCAAGCTCCGCCTCCCGGGTTCACTCCATTCTCCTGCCTGGGCTGCCAGAGTAGCTGGGACTACAGGCGCTCACCACCACGCCCCGCTAATTTTTTTGTATTTTTAGTAGAGATGGGGTTTCACCATGTTAGCCAGGATGGTCTTGATCTCCTGACCTCATGATCTGCCCGTCTCGGCCTCCCAAAGTGCTGGTATTACAGGCAGGATCTACCGCGCCAGACCTGTTTGTGTATCTTAAACTCTTTATGTCCACATGGGACCTTCAGATATAAGAGAATCCAGTAGATTTCTTAAAAAATATTTTTTTCTTAAGCCAGTCAAATTTACCAGTGGGGGGCCAGTGGAAGATTTCTAATGAGTTGTGGAATGCTGACTCCTGGATTGTTAGTAGGACTGTTGATTTGCCTTTTTTGGGGGGGAGGGTAGTTGTCTTCTGTATGTACTTGGTTGTTGTGTATGTGTAAAGGAAATAATACATAAACATTTTAGTTGGTCTATTTCTAAAGTTGTTTGTATTAGTTTACTACGGCTGCCATTAGTTTACTAGGGCATACCGCAGACTGGGTGGCTTAAACAACAGAAAATTATTTTCTCAGTTTTGGGAGTTCTAAGTTCAGGATAGAGGCATCAGCAGAGGGTTGATTGCTTCTGAGACCTCTCTCCTTGGTTTGCAAATGACTGTCTGCTTGCTGCCTCTTCACATGGTCCTTTTATCTGTGCATGTGTCCAAATTTCTTATAAGGGCACAGTCTGGTAGGAATAGAACCCACTCTAATTGCCTCATTTGCAGTTAGTCACTTCTTTAAAGACCTTATCTTCAAATATTGCTACATTTGAGGTATTGGGGGCTATGACTTCAACATACGTCTTGTTGGTTGGGGGGACACAGTTCAACCCATAACATACACAGGGAAAGGAATCAGATGGCACAGTGCAGTTAAGATGAGTGGTGTGGAACTTGTGAAACTTTAATTAACCTTTATATACTTGTGTAACTGCCATAACAATACTGCTTTTTTTTTTTTTTAACCTTTTTTCAGAACATGAGTTAATTTTAAGATAGGATCTTCTCTGTCACCTGGGCTGAAGTACAGTGGCATGATCATAGGTCACTGCAGCCTCAAACTTCTGGTCTCAAGCAATCCTCTTCCCTCAGGCTCCCTAGTAGCTGAAACTACAGGCATAGACCACCACACTCAGCGGAGTCTTACCATGTTGCCTAGGCTGGCCTCAAACTCCTGGGCTCAAGGAATCCTCCCACTTCACCTCCCAGAGTGCTCGGATTACAGGCGTGAGCCTCCACACCAGGCCCATACTTTAAGAACTAGATTTAAATTAAAGTTAATATAAAGACATTGCAGAAATGAATAGGTGATTTTAGTGGTTTGCCTCTGGGGAATTTTTTTTTTTTTTGGTGATGGAGTTTTCTCCTTGCCCAGGCTGGAGTGCAGTGGCGTAATTTCAGCTCATTGCAACCTCCACCTCCTGGGTTCAAGCAGTTCTCCTGCCTCAGCCTCTCGAGTAGCTGGGACTACAGGCATGCACCACCATGCCCAGCTAATTTTGTATTTTTAGTAGAGATGAGGTTTCTCCATGTTGGTCAGGCTGGTCTCAAACTCCCAACCTCAGGTGATCTGCCCACCTCGGCCTCCCAAAGTGCTGAGGTTACAGACGTGAGCCATCGTGCTCGGCCATTACGTAACTTTTTACCATTTTGTATGGATATGCCTTTTTGAAAAATTATCAATTTTAATTAATTAATTTATTTTTTTGAGATAGTCTTGCTCTGTCATCCAGGCTGGAGGGCAGTGGCGTGATCTCAGCTCTCTGCAACCTCTGCCTCCCAGGTTCAAGTGATTTTCCTGCCTCTGCCTCCTGAGAAGCTGGAATTACAGGTGCCCACCACCGTACCCTGCTAATTTTTGTTTTTTTAGTAGAGATGAGGTTTCACCATTTTGACCAGGCTAGTCTCGAACTCCTGACCTTGTGATTCACGCACCTCAGCCTCCCAAAGTGTTGGGATTGTAGGCGTGAGCCCTACCAGTTTTTGGTTCGGTTCTCTGAAGTTTCTTACGAATTTTTATTTGGTACAAGCTTTTCATTCCCACTGAGTTACTGAAACTACAATTTTAAGAGTTTTCAACAGAGTTGTTGGAAAAGTGTGTATCACAAAGCACCGTTTAGCATTTAACTTCATGTTAAAAGATAAAAATCTTTTATAAATTTTAAAACACGTTAGTTTTCATTGTTATTCCACAAGACTTTGAAATTTAATGCAAATAGAAATAAATAGGACTCTGAATACCTGGATTTTTGTGATGTGCAGTATATTTTGGTTAGACATAGTCTCAAAACCTGTGTTTTGTTTCATGAGTGTTTTATTGGAATTCCTCTTAAGGTTTTCAAGTTGTATCAGAGTTTTTCTCCCTCAGCCAATATGAGCATTTAAACATTTTCACTTACATTGTCAGTTTTAACTAGTTGTATTTGCTTTTTGCATCTGGTTACTCTTAACCTTTCTTTTCTTTTCTTTTTTGAGACAGTTTTGCTTTTGTTGCACAGGCTGGAGTGCAGTGACTGTCTCGGCTCACTGCAATCTCTATCTCCCGGGCCAGGTTCAAGCAATTCTCTTGCTTCATTCAGCCTCCTGAGCAGCTGGGATTACAGGCGCATGCCACCACACCTGGCTAATTTTTTTTGTATTTTTGGTAGAGACAGGTTTCTCTATGCTGGCCAGGCTGGTCTTGAACTCCTGACCTCAAGTGATCCACCTGCCCACCTCAGCACCACAAAGTGATGGGATTATAGACATGAGCCACTGTGCCAGGCCCATTCCCTGGTTTAAAAGCAGTCCAGATGTATCATCAATTTAGTTGTAAAGATTTGAGTATATGTCTTTTTTATTTATTATTATTTTGAGAGGGAGCCTTGCTCTGTTGCCCAGGCTGGAGTGCAGTGGCATGATCTCAGCTCACTGCAACCTCTGCCTCCCAGGTTCAAGTGATTTTCCCGCCTCAGCCTCTCAAGTAGCTGGGATTACAGGCACCTGCCATCATGCCCAGCTAATTTTTTATTTTAGTAGAGATGGGGTTTCACCATGTTGTCTAGGCTGGTTCCGAACTCCTGACTTCAGGTGATCTCCCACCTTGGCTTCCCAGAGTGCTGGGATGACAGGCATGAGCCACTGCGCCTGGCCTGTCTTCCTTCTAAAACATAACCACCATACTATTATCACATCTAAAGTGATTATTCCTTAGTGCCATTTAATAATATCCAGCTTGTGTTCAAAGTTTTGATTGTTTCATAATTTTCTTTCTTTTTTTTTAAGGTTGATTTGTTCACATAAAGGATTCTTAGTTCATCTGCCCATTAAAAGCCACTGTTTGTTGTAGAAACCAGCTCATTTAACCTTTAAATTATCCCATGATCTGGATTTGACTTATTACTTCCCCCAGATGTCCTTTAACTTGTTCTCCATCTTGAATGTCCTGCTAATTGGTAGTTAAATCAGATTTCTAATTTTATTTTAGGTGGGCACAAGACTATGTCATAGATGGTACTCCGTATTTCATTTTGGGTTATGTCAGGAAACACTTGGTGTCTAGTTATCTATTTGATTTTTTTTAAAAAGCTATACTGAGGTATACTTTATGAAAAAACCAGTTTTAAGTTTATAATTTGAGGTTTGACAAATGTGTACTGTAGTAATAACCACTGTAATCAAGATAATACTCAGTTACCCAGAAAATTCCCTCTTGTTTCTTGGAGTCATCCCCCTTCCAAGTTGATCTATTTTCTATCACCATAGTTTTGTCTTTTCTGGATTTTCATTATAAATAGAATCCTATAGTAGTAAGTAGTAAGATCATTGTAATACAAAGGCGATAAATTTTGCCCAGGAGCTGCAGGTCTAATTCCTTCCATTTTTATATGACAGGGACTTGCCATGAGGTGTTGAAGCCTTGTTTCACTGAGTTGGAGAGACTGGACCTAAATGGCGCAGCATGACTTTGCTCCAGCCTGGCTTAATTTCCCTACTCCACCATCATCAACAAAGGTATTCTTTCTGCATCTCTCTTTCTGTCTGCTTCTCTTGCATTCGTTTTTTACACAAATGTAATTAAGTCATGGAGAAGTAATAGTATCTTTGCACAGAAGTACATTTGTGGCTGGGCATGGTGGCTCACCCCTTGTAATCTCAGCACTTTGGGAGGCCGAGGTGGGTGGATCACCTGAGGTCGGGAGTTCGAGACCAGCCTGACCAACATGGAGGAACCCTGTCTCTACTGAAAATACAAACTTAACTAGGCGTGGTAGTGCATGCCTGTAATCCCATTTACTCAAGAGACTGTGGCAGGAGAATTGCTTGAACCCAGGAGGTGGAGGTTATGGTGAGCCAAGATCGCACCATTGCATTCCAGCCTGGGCAACAAGAGCAAAACTGTCTCAAAACGAAACAAAAAAACCCAAAACATTTATATTACCATCTAAGTTATTTAATTTGTTGGCTATATTAAAATTTTTTTTTTTTTTGAGACGGAGCATTGCTCTGTCACCCAGGCTGGATTGCAGTGGCATGATCTTGGCTTATTGCAGCCTACGCTTCCTGGGTTCAAGCGATTCTTCTGCCTCAGCCTCCTTAGTATTTGGGATTACAGGGGTGGGTCACTATGCCTGACTAACTTCTATATTTTTTTTAATAGTAGAGGTGAGGTTTTTGCCATGTTGGCTAGGATAGTCTCTAATGCCTGACGTCAAGTGATCTGCCTGCCTCGGTCTCCCAAATTGCTGGGATTACAGGCATGCACCACCATGCCCTGCCTGTTCTATTAGTTAACAAGTCAGTTTTTATTATACCATCAGCGCACTAAGCCATTTATTTCAAAGTTAGCTTTTGTAGTAATCAGTTTCAAAAATTTTAATTTTTACTAGTCAGATACGTTGAATAGAGCATCTTACCTTTTTCTATACTGTTTTTTACTCTTACATAGGTTGACTTGTTCATAATGATACCCACCAGACATGGCGTACTTCACTTTGCAATGTGCTTTGCTGAACATTATGTAATTTGTTCATAATTCCATGAATGTGGTGATTTAGAATTATTCTTAGTCCCTGCTATACTCATTTTAAATATTGATCTCCTTTTTCTATGAGGGAAAGTAAAATCATTGAGGTGCAGAGAAAAGGGTTTGTGCACAGTCACTTTGGGATGAGGACGATTTATCTGAGTTCTCTGTGTCTTTCCCCATCTTTCTGTAAAACTGTTTGTCTCATTTGGTATCAAACCCATCTGTCAGGCTCCATTAATTCCCAGCTAATTGCTCTATTGTTTTCATTAATGCCTTTGGGGGCCTACATTGTGATCCATGCTCTGATCCAATTTAGTTATGGCAGGTGTAGTTTTGAGGCCCAGCCTCCTGAGGTTGGTTCTGACCGTAGTAGGGCTCTCCTTACGTATCTCTTTCTCAGATTCATTCAGAACTAACTGGCCTGTGATTCAGCTTATTGCTCTTCATGGAGAGGAGCTACCAGCCTCTTATTACTACCAGTATCTCCATTGTTTCTGAGAGGGCTGTTAGTGTTGAATAAAGTTAGTTCCTTTGAGAGACTGCTTCTTACCCTTAGCAAAATCTTTGAATCATTACTCCTCATGCTAGGTGGAGCAATAGCCTGAATCTTCTCAATTTGTTTTTCCAGAGTGAAACTACTGCCCTATTAGATAGCTGGAGCAAGAGCAATTAGGGCTCAGTTTTCTTGGGCTGATGAACCTGGGTTAGAGCCTTCATTCTGTGAGTGGGGGTTGGGTGGAATAAAGGAGCCTCAGATTTCTTGACTGTAGTTATCAGGAATTTAACTTCTTCAATTCGAGTTGGAGCGGGTGAGAAATGTTGGCAGTCTGCCTCTCCCAGTAAGGTGTACCCCTTGTTTAGGAGATGAGACGGGAGAAGAAACCTGTCTTCTCTTGATTATAGCTGCCCAGATTGGATGCAGGAGGGGTAGTTGGTTGTAGCTCAAGTGCTGCAGACTCTTAAATAATTGAGTTTTAGTTTGAACAAGTATAACTGGGAAAAACAATTAAAAAACAAAACACTGTGACTGGGTGTGGTGGCTCACACCTGTAATCCCAGCACTTTGGGAGGCACAGGTGGGCAGATCACTTGAGGTCAAGAATTCAAGACCAGCCTAGCCAACATGGCCAAACCCCATCTCTAATAAAAATACAAAAATTAGCCAGGTGTGGTGGCATGAGGTTGCAGGGAGCTGAGATCGCGCCACTGCAGTCCAGCCTGGGTGAAGGAGCGAGACTCTGTCTTAAAAACAAAACAAAACAAAACACTAAAAGTGTGAAAATTATTCTAAGGGCACATAGCAAATGAAGAAACATTTATTCAAGAAAATCTAAAAACTTTGTGTTTCTGTACTATTCTTCTGATAACCTGCTTTTTCCTTATAAACATTTTTTCAAAGCCTTTTCGTGTATCTGGAATCCTTTTTTTCCCCACATAAATATGGCTTTTGAATGGCTCATGACTAAAATTTCAGGAATAATGTGAACTTTGCAATATCATTATACATTAGGACTCACTAAGGAATGTTCATTTAACTTATATAAATAAAAATAGAATAGTTTTTTACAGATACATTTACAGACATTCAAGGAGATTGCAAATTATTAAAATTGTCTATTTTTAAGATGTGCTAAGAATAAATTTTTGAAGCAGATGCTAGAAATGGGCTTTTTTGATAGATTATGTAAAAAAAAGATAGTGATTTAATAGTCTACAAAGTGGAAAATAGCGGCGTATTCTGACAAAAAGTCATAATACAATTTTTTTGGTCAAGTTATTTTGTTAGGGAAGCTTTTTGATGGGCCTTTCTTCCAGCATGATCTAGTGTGTAGACATAAACAACTACGGCCCGGGTGCAGTGGCTCACGCCTACAATCCCAGCACTTTGGGAGGCTGAGGCAGGTGGATCACCTGAGGTCAGGAGTTTGAGAGCAATCTGACCAACGTGGAGAAACCCCGTCTTTACTAAAAATACAAAATTAGCAGGGTTTGGTGTTGCATGCCTTAATCCAGGCTGAGAATCGCTTGAACCGGGAGACGGAGGTTGTGGTAAGCCGAGATTGTGCCGTTGCACTCCAGCCTGGGCAAGAAGAGTAAAATGCTGTCTCAAAACAAACACACACACACAAAAAACTGTAAGTGGTCAAAGATCCACCTGTAACTGTCTAAATACTTGCCTCTAAATAATGAGACAATGCGAATGCAAAGAGCTGGTATAATTAAGAATATAACCATTTTCAGAAAAAGCACGTTGATTCTCTTGGGCCGGACGTGGTGGCTCACACCTATAATCCCAGCACTATGGGGGCGCTGAGGCTGGAGAATCTCTTGAGGCCAGGAGTTTGAGAGCAGCCTGGGCAACATGGTGAAACCCTGCCTCTCTACAAAAGTAAATAAATTAAATAAATGAAAATTTTCACACAGATTAAGAGTTTATTTAAAAATATCTTTCTCATGAATACTAGTTAATTTCTTATCACTTATGAAATTTTTTATAGTAATGTATACTTTTGGTTCAGCCAAGTTGTGTTCATTTTGATGGAAAGTAATTTCTTTAGGTGTTATGACTTTTCTAGACTATAAGATTTATGTAAAAGAAAAGAAAACAAAACAAAACAAAAAACTATTTTTCCTTTCTACTCTCAACACAGAACACTTCTATAACCACATATTTTGGATTCTCCCCCTCAAAGCAGTTCTCTAGCAGACACTACCTGGGTATCCTGTAATGCATTTCAGTTCTGACACTGTCTGCTTGGGATAGTGTCAGATCCCACAGGTTGAGTTTTCAGTCCCACAAGGCTGCCTTCACTTCAGATGCCAATAGCCAGTCCCAGTCACCAGTACTTCTCACTGGTTACAAAGCAGGGTTTCTGCAACCACCCCCGTCGGGTCTGAACCATTTCCTAGGATGGCTCAAAGAATTCAGGGGAACACATTTGCTGATTTATTATTATTATAAAGGATACTGGTGAATAGATTGATAATGGTGAGGTATGGAGAGGTGGTGTGTGGAGCTTCAATGTCCTGTCTGGGTATACTACCCTCCCAGCAGTTTCATGTGTTCAGCAATTGTTGGTCTGTGGGTGGGGCTGAAAGTTCATACTCTCTAGTTTGTGGGTGGGGCTGAAAGTTCATATTCTCTAATCACTTGATTTTTGCTGTTGCCCTATGCTGAGACTGTTGGGGGCCCCCAGTCTAAGTGACCATTAACATAAACTTGAATTATCACAGGGACCTGATAACTTGGTTTCACCTCAAGTGATCCGCCTGCCTCTGCCTCCCAGAGTGCTGGGTAACAGGCATGAGCCACCACACTCGGCCTGGAAACAATTTTATAATTTGGAATTTTCTTCTCCCATAAGGACTTACCCAGGTCTTAATAAATTTGCCATATGTGTTGAAAAAGATACATTGAAATTACAGAATTTTCCTATAGATTGTAATTTTGGGGTTTGAAGATGGATCTTAGTGATCATCTAAACCTTATACAGATTTTGGAAGGTTAGTTGAATTGCTTTCACATTGCTGGTTAGTGTGAGCCTAGATTGGAATCCAGGATGCATCTGCTATTCTGCGGTCTTTCTATAGGACTCATTTTGGAATTCTGTAAAATGAGTAAAAATTTCATTGACTGTAAAAAAGGGACTTGAGGCCGGGTGTGGTGGCTCACGCCTATAATCTCAGCATTTTAGGAGGCCAAGGCTAGTGGATCACCCGAGGTCAGGAGTTCGAGACCAGCCTGGCCAACATGGTGAAACCCCGTCTCTACTAAAAATACAAAAATTGGTCGAGAGTGGTAGCACGTACCTGTAGTCCCAGCTACTCGGGAGGCTGAGGGAGGAGAATCACTTGAACCTGGGAGGCAGAGGTTGCAGTGAGCCCAGATCGCACCACTACACTCCAGCCTGGGTGACAGAGTGAGACTCTGTCTCAAACAAACAAACAAGGATGACAGAGTGAGACTCTGTCTCAAACAAACACA